TTTGTGAGTGGGACCTGCTGTGAGGGGCTGCTCCCAGAGCTGGTACGTGTGCCTGTAGCTCTCCTCCCAGCCCGGGGCCCAGGTGGTGAGTGCAGGTGGCTGGCTCGCACAAACTGCAGCTGGCCCGGCCCAGGGAGGGCTGCGGGGGCACAGCTGGAGGGAGACCACAGGCTGGCACCTTGCCCTCCGTGCCAGCAAGGCACTATTGCCTTGGCGTGGGCTCCTGTCTTGGCAGAGAAGGTAACCCTGAGCATCACCCAAGTCTGGACTGCCGTGGAGCAGGATATTGAGCTGGGAAACCCACTGTCCCATTCAGCCGTGCCATTTTGGGCTGTGCAGGGGAGGTTTGGGACATGGCTGGAGGAAGTCTGGCTGCAGCAGGAACCAGAAGCTCAGCAAGGCATGGGGTGAGCTGGTGGGCAGCCGCCAGGCTCGCCTGGTAACACATGTGCCCCTCCTTTAAAAACTGCCTGTGGTATTTACATGTAACCAAGAAGGTGTCTATTGGTGATTTAAAAAAAAAAAACAAACCCAAACAAAGTGCTTTTTGTATGAAGACAGATTTGACAAAGAGATTGGGTGAGTGCAGGATGGGGGAGGAGGGGAGAGAGAGGGTTGCAGCGGTGACAGGGAGGGGATGGAGGTCGATCTGCAGGCTCTGCAGAAGTGGGTCCCACTGCTCTTTCCTCCCTCACACTCCTTGAGAAATTAGAGTGTGAAAGCCTCTGGCAAGGTGAGTTCGTGTGACACGGAGGAGGTGGGCGTCAGCACGAGCAGCCAGAGCTGCCCCGCTCACGGGCGCTCGGTCCGTCCACCAGCCAGGGCTCTGGAAGGCGTGCTGGAGGGCTGGCCCACGGAAGGACGGTCAGGGGAACAAGCGTGGTTAAACCAAGTACACGCTTCAGATGGGTTGGGTTGGGTGCCTTCTACAAACAAGCTGCCTCGTAACCCACCACCTCAGGCTCAGTAACCCGAGAGGTTCGGTGCTGTTCACGTAGCTCCATGTGCTGTGGGAATGGCTCAAGCTGCTGAGGGAGGTTATCAACCACTGTAGACACCATACATCCAGCGCATGTTGCGAGGAGTTCCTGCACCAACAGCTTCTTACCAGTAAATGTAAAAATGAGGGAAAAGTGGATGTGCAAAAGAGAAAGGGGAAGAATGCGCTGAGCAGCAGCGGGAGTGGAGGCTGTGCCCCTTGGGACAGTTGGTGCCTTTCAGGAGCCCCTGTTTCAGCAGTTGCTGCAGCACCTTGTAACCCCCCACCCGACCTTGCTGGAGCTCTGACTCCCCAGCTAGGATGGCCCAAGGCAGGGAAAGCTTCAGTGAGGGTGCTGGGCTGAGCTTTGCCCTTAGTGAGCGATTTGAGGCATTGGGTGAGAAGGCAGGAGTGCTTAACCTGATACCCCATCCCTTTGCTGAGGTCCTGCTGGGATGACCTAGTGCTTTGTAAGCATTTCTTATGCTTTAGGATTTTAGCTGACACCCCACCCGCCCCCACAGCTGATAGCTACTGGAGCATGGTACTAGGAAATATTACCACAGCATACTTTGAATTCACATAGATTTTGTAGAAAAAGAATTTGAGACTTCCCTTTTTTAGAATGAGAAGCACTGCCGTTCTGAGTACAACGGTGTGGCATCTTGTTTGGAATTTCCCTTGCTTTCTATATATACACATGCAGCAAAGCCACAGGAAATGGAAGTTTAAAAAAAATACCATAGAGCATAGGTATCTGCTTCTTGAACAAATTTTATTCTTGTAGTCAGTTTTACTATTAGTGAGCACTTATTCTTGAGGCATCGTTTAAGGCTTGTTTTTAAGAGATGTGATGTCCTAAATCATTGGAGGGGGAAGCAGCCATTGCCTTTAATGTTGCAGAAGATCTGAGAAGCTTTTTAGGTTCTGTGCTGCCCATGCTACAGAAGACAGCATTGTTGTTGAGCTGCTCTCCCTTGGGGCTTTTAGGGTAGGGACCAACTTCTGAGGCTTCTCCCAGCTGTATTTTCGGAGGTTCAGTGAGTCAGTCTTGCCTACAGCTGCTGTCGTGATTGTGTGCTAAGGGCCTACTTCTGCCTAGCAACCAGCACAGTTATTAGTAAACAGCATTTACTTTAAAATCCCAAGCAAAATGCATTATAACTAGGTCCAGGAGTAATGCGAACCAGCCTGCCAGCAGTTGGAGGATACATGGTCCAAAAAGCTCATTGCTGGTGAGACAGTGGCTCGGGAGCTCTGAGCTTGTCCCGGGTCTGCTTTGGAGACCAAAACTGAGGGAAGGTAATTTAACGAGGGAGAAATTTTAAGAGAAGAGAGGGACTAATCATGAAGGTAGTTGGACAAATACACCTTGGCAGCAGTTAATATCCTAAGATACATCCCTACAAGTCCCAGGAGAGACAGTTACCCTGCCTCCTCCCAGCCTCCCTGGATCTACAGAGGGTACATACTCTCTGTCTTCTAGTGTTGGCATGCCCCTCCAGCATGGGCCTCGCTCACCAGCAATGAGAGCTTGAGAGGAGCCTAAATGGGCAGTAACTTCACCTGAAAACAGGGCTCGGGTATCTTGGGTGCCTTTTGTTACCAACACAGCAAATAAGGAACCGAGTCCCATACAGTCAGATCATTTTTCTGTATGATTTCAGGAGCCTTGTGCAAGGGCTTGTTTCTGCAGTTCTACAGATGATGTGTGTTTCAGTGAACAAGTGTGGTACAAATGGATAATGAAAGTTCATAAAATTTGTGCTGTTGAAGTTCCTTTCATTTTATACAGTTACTTTCTAACTCACATGCCTTTATTGCTTTCTTTTGGGAAAGGAGCTGGGTTGCTCTTACCACTTAACCAAACAAGACACACGCTACATGGACGGCCATCCAAGTGGCAGAGAAAACCAGTGTGAGGCCAGAAGGAGCTTTCCTTAATTTAAAGAGTTCAGAAAAAATGCTGGAAACTCATGGCTGCTTTCACTTCAGCATTGGGGCAGTGGAGCTGCCGGCTTTAATGTTTTCTGGTCTCTAAGTTGAGGAACCTGAATGGTGCGTGTAGGTTGTGGTGGTAATTGCTTGGGATGCCTTGATGTGTGTGCTTTGCCTCGTGAGGAGAGGGCAAGTAAAGATTTTATATGATTTCTTCAAGAGATCTACCAGTGACTTTGGTGTAAAAGTCAAAGCACTAGGTAACAGACAAGTTTTCTTTAGGAGGAATAGTTTATGCCCTGTAATCTGAAACAAACATTTGCATGTGGGACACTGGTAGTTCTTCGTAGCATGTGTCACTGGTTTCTTGGTTAAGCCAAAACAAGAAACAAATAGGTAAGGCTTTTCACCAGCTGGAAAAAAAAACTCAGTAGGAAGCAGCAAAATAAAATAGCTCTGAAGTGAGGTATTTTTATACTAAAAAACACCAGATCTGGCTTAGATTTTTGCCATGGGTGTTCAAGTTCCAGTCACTTATTGCACAGCTTTAGGTCGTAGCTGTAGTATGTGCTTGACCTGTAACTTCACCTGCTTGGGTCTGTGGGTCCAGGGTGGTCCTCTCTGCAGATACATCCCGTTTCCCAGCACTTAAGTGCCCTCCTGTCCCAGGATTTGGACTCCAATCTCTGCTCCGGCAGGGGGGACTAATTCACAGGTCTTAAACCCACAAGAATCTGTACTATTAATTTCTGTGTGCTGCAGACTGCAGATTCTTGTATCTAATGCCTGCATCTATTTCTAATATTTGCAGCTCAGTCTGTCCAACTATACCCATAGGGATTAACATGAGCAGAAACCTATAGCATGCTTCAGCTTCTGACTGATGTATATTAAAGCAGTGATCATCTCAAATGCAGTAAAAAACAATGCACTGCTGAGATCTAACTTACTTTATTGTTGTGTTTGTCTTTGTAACTATCTTGTAATGTGAATCACTAAAAAAAGTAAGTCCATATTCCACTGTATCAATCACCTGCAATATAATATTGGTGTACACTGAAGCTGTAAACAAGGCTTGTCTACTGCGAACAGTCAGAAAAAGTAAGATTAGCTTATGCCACAGGAAGTTTAATCATACATTTCTCAGCCTGTATTCTGTGGGCTGCATCTGATCTCAGAGACCTTAAAAGGCGATGTATAAAATGGTCACACAAAAAAAAAAAATAAAAACAATCTGTGCATGTTTGTGCATGTGTTGGGAAAAAACCCAGCTCGTTGTCAATCACAGGTTTGCAATCAATTCAAGAGTAGATCAATAAGAACCATTGCACCTGCTCCCTGCATGCAGTGGCCCATGCATCTTTTCTGGTAATATCCCACCTAAGGCAACATTGGCATAAACCATCATCTTCCTGTGGGGCGTAACAGGATCACGAAAAGGAATTATCAAGGAAAATACCCACAATCTGCCTGAAGTGTAGTACTGGGAAGGAAGCAAAGCAGAAGACAGTGGTGATGTTCCACAAAGTAAGTTTTCTTTAATTACTAAGGGTCATGGTTGCATTAGGCCCTTCCTTTGTCTGTATCCTATCCTTAACTCCAGCTCTGACATAGTGAGAAACACCTGGAACCAACACTGAAAAAAACCTGTGGCCCCGTTGCATTTGTACATGTTAACTTCTAATACTTCTTCTCAAAACAGTCCCCCAGCTATTTGTTGATGTTATCATCTCCAGCGCAGACAGGGTAAGAAGAAAGTTAAGCTAGCGGTGGCGTCGTCACAGATGTGTGGCACTGTAGGGTGTTAAATGTGTTCTCATACATCTGAAAGGTCATTCTTCCTCTCATAAATGAGGAGTGATTTTTTTTGACATACTTGAAAATAGTCTGAGACACTGGCTATCACTGAAGTAATGAAATAACTCATATCTGAAACCATGACATTTAGTTAGCCCTTAGTATAGTTACTGGGACTACTTCACATTTAAATACTTGCACTGAAAGAGAGAATTTTTTTTTGACCACTTTACTAATGCAGTAAAGCAACTGCACAATCACTTTTATTATAAAAATAACCCTTATGTAAAATAGGAATACAATCAATAATTACACAAATACACATTTACAAACATGTGAAATAGTTACTTACGGCACAGAAAAAATAAATATCCCTGTACACTGTTTCTGTGCAAAAAGACAGGCTAGTTTTAGTCAGTAACCAGCCTTTTTATGTTTTTTTCACTTCTCCTGATTGCAGTTGAACACAAGGATTTTTCAGATGACATGTCTGAAAGTTCAGCCTCAATAGACAATACTTTCACTTTTAATCCAGATAAAGCACAATAAGATTTTTTTCTATTTTCTGCCAAAGTGCCTCTCCCCCGTTCTTCAGCCTACATTTTTGGAAGAGGAGGAAAAGTTCAAGTTCAGTAATTTTCTTCACAAGCCTTTGGACTGCTGTAAAGAATTAGACTTGAATACGAGTCAAGCTGCACTCTGAAGCTAACTACCACTGTAAACTTCAGTTTAGTTTGGAGTAGAATTTGCATTATGTTTGCCTTCCTCGTAGTTGTCAGAAATAATTCTTCATAAAAAACACTTTGCTTTATCTTGAAGTCTTTCATACAGTCCAAGAGAAGGTGAAATCAAGTAAGAGGTAGATACTGTTCATCCTCCTAATCCCTAAGAGCTGTCCATTTGAATTACTCTGTGGTAGGACTGTAGGAGATATGTATAGAGCAAAGTTTTACTGTCTATAAAGTAGTGATAGACTTACACACCTCACATCACATGGTCACTGACAGCATTCAGCAACATGCTTGAGGAATTCATCACTGAGTTCATCGCTGAAAAACCTCATACAATGAGGGCATCTAAGTTCACCCTGTGCCCTGCCCTCAGATCCCGAGTTTCCGTTGTCCACGGGAGGAGAGGCTTGTTCAGACTGTGAAGATGTTCTTCTCATGCCTGTTTGGCCTGGGCTATTGCCTCGTAGATGTTCAACGTTCGTCTGTACATACATATGGTTTTGGTTACCAATGTGGACTCTGAAGTGACTACTTGAGTCCTAGAAAGAGAAAGAAGAGCTCTTGAAAAAGATGCAAAGATGAAAAAGGATATTCTTTATATTTTATCACCTTTATCTGAAACACTGGCCATGTTTTTATCAGAAGACTTGTAAATAAAATATGCATCAGTTTTTGCAGTTTTATTAATATAGTTGTAAAGAAGGCTTGTAGAAAACACAGAATATAGCCAGCATGCCACTTTAAAGATGCCACTGTTATAAGAGTCCTTGTCTTCCTTCTAAGAATTCCCCCTTACTATGTTGATCCAAAACAGAAGAAAAATGGACTGGAAATGGGTATTACGAGCATATTGGGAAGCATCTCCACTAGAACACGGACTGTGAAATAATGTAAGCTTTTGATAGCTGCAATGAGCTGAAATGGTTTTAGAAGTACTAGTATTTTTAAAATAATGTATTCTGAAGTATATTTTAGTCTTGAATTCTGTTGACATGCTTTAATTGAAAGACTAGCATGTTGCTCTCTTACCTGTCTTCTTGCTAGCTGGTGTTGCAGACATGCAACTTCTGCTTGAAGCTCTTGTATTTTACTCTGTGCTCGTTCTCTGTCTGATCTCTCAGATGTGAAATCATCTTTATAAACTAGGACCTGGAAAAAATTACGATGTTAATATTTTATAAATTAGAGCATTGGCAGGTCAGATTAGACAGCTGAGGCTGTGATTCCTTTGTTTGTAAAAACTTATTCCCAGAATCTCAATATTATCTCTCTATCATATTTGTACTTTAAAGGTTATTTGTATTTCTTTTTCAGAACTTTTAATATTTTGTATTAAAGGCAGCAAAACTGCATGCAATCTTTAAGCAGTGAATTTCCTTTAAATCTGTGCCGTTAAGTGTCTGTATAGCCAAATGTGGCAGGACAAGTGGCAAATGTCAAAAGAAATAATTTAATTTTTCCCCCTTAGACTTCAGTGGTCTGGAGAGAAACTAAGAATTCCCATCTCTAGGAAAAAGAAACTTAATGACCTGTTGCTCCAGCATTTGTATGCGTTCGTTATCTCCTTCACTAGCCTTCTTCACATCTTCTAATTCTCTCTTTGTTTTTATGCATTCATTCATTTTTTCTTCCAGTAGCTTGTTTAACCGGAATATCTCCTTGTGCATCAGGTCAGAATTCGTTTGTGCTGAAGTTACACCGTGCTGCTGCTCCAGTTGAGACTTCATCTCTTTTAGCTGCAAGTGGAGTCGCTTCACATACTCATCCCTACTTGCATCATACTTCTGCCATTTTGCATTTAAGTCTTCCACCTGAAAGATTACCCAGGAGAATCATGAAAAACATGAAGACACAAACGAAGACACAAACGTCTGGGCTTTCATAGACTGTCTATATGTGCAGGACCAAAATTCTCTAAAAGATAAATAATGCGCTGACTCAGGTGCTGAGTGTGGATAAGCCACTTTACAGGAGAGCAGAAGATTATCATACTGCAAGCCAGGCTCTTCACGGGCAGCCAGCCCATAGGGACAGCATTAAAGAATATGGAATGGGAAGGGCTGGTGGTCACCCTGGGCCCAGTGCTGTTCTCCTGGGGTGGAATACCGATGCATGGAAGGAACATGAAAAAAATTTTCTTCTGCAGTATATTTTTAAGAAAAAGCCCCCAGTATTAAAAATAATGTTGTAAGTTTTTCTCAGCTAAGGGAAAAAAGACTATGTGCCATGTTGAAAGGACTAAGAAAAATTTTGGACTCTCATTAAACTGCCATTTAGTTAGATTAACCAGGCCTTACCTATTCCAAATTTACTGTAATTCAAAATACTCAATCAAATCTTAATCTTGTACCAAATGAAAGTACTCACGTGAGCTACTTTTTGTTTTAACATCCTGTTTTCATCTTGTAGGTTGCAGATAAGAGCTTGAAGTGAAGTTTCATTGTCTAAAACCTATAATTTTCAGATAAAGTAAATGTTACTTTAACATAAAATTCCCAAATGCTACGTAGCTATGCTGTTAAACTGGAATTAATCTTTTTTTTCAATTCCTCTAAAACTATTTGCTATCAGCGAAACAACTACATACATCTAGGTCTACTTCTTTCTATGTAGTATATTTCTAAATACTAATAGTATAGCCTACAGCTTTTATTATTAATAAGCAGAACAAAAATGTACTCAGGTTTTTACCACCTTTTAAATAGATCCGTGTGGTGTCATAAAAACTTACCTGTCTTACCAAATTCTGAGCCTACTAAAGGTAACAAGAAAAATACCACACATTTTACATGCATGAAGGTCTACACTGATGACAACAGAGCTTAACAGTTTACATAAACTCTTGGAAACTACTTGTTTGGTGTGGGGAAATGCATGACAAAGACACAGATATGCCTTCATCTTGCTTTGTTATTACTGTCAATTTTGGCCAGCACTAGGAAGAAATTACTGAGGGAAAAAAACCCTGCTTGCTAAATAATTGACTGAAATGATAGCCCATTTTTACAGTTGTGACATCTGCTTAAAAAAACCCCGGTGTACGTGAGTAATATAGAACACTTTTGTACAAAATTCCCTAGAATCAGCTAGTACTTGCATCTGAAATTTCTCTTCTTCAACAGGGAAGTCCCCGCTGTACAAGGTTAGCTACTTATTACATATGTTGAAGTCAATCAATTTCCTGTCTATCAATTACACGTAAAATATGATAATACTAAGTGCTTCAAGTCCCTTAAAAAGTCCTTTTTTCTTATATCTAGTCAACCTCTAACTATTTCTTATAGGTAACGTTAATGCGAATAAGTTTTCTTTGGAAATCCTCCTAGGATGTTTTACAAAGTAGAAGTGAGCAACGTATAGGGTTTATCACAAAAGCATAGATGAGTGGTCATGTGAGACACAGCACTGCCACTACGTAGCAGTAAGAGCATGAGACAGAATTGTTCTTTTTTGTGAGAATTAGCTGTAGCATCCTACTCGATACTCTGATCTGTTATTAGAGGCAGCACCTCTAACATTATTTCCTTATGGTATTATGAATTACCTAATGACTCCGAACCATCATGATTTCTGGAACAACATGACCTCTACCCTACGCTGAAAAGCTTCAGCTAAGGTGATGATGCAGCAAAGCCACACAGCCATTACCAAAGTACACCAAAATCCAGGCGTTTCTTTGTGCCCCTTGGTGGCATTTCTGCCACCTTTCTATCATGAAGCAATTTTTCTAAACATCCCTGCTGGAGAGAAACATTGCCTTGCACCGGGGGCCAGAGGGGAACCCCAAGGAAAAAAAGGGTAAGATACCTTGACTCATTCTTCCCTAACCAACTTTCTGCAGGTCTGTACTACGTGTGCAAAGCCAACTCCTGATCTGAGAAGACCATGTGTTACAGAGTTCTTAATATAAATACTACTTTAAAATATCTCTACTTTGTTTTGTGATTTAGATGCTTAAACAAGCAATCCGGAGATATCACCTTCAAAAGCACAGCACCATCTAGTGATGCACAGAAGCATGCTTGCGGTATAAAGAAGGTACTGTCTCCTCTATATGCAGGGAAGAATTGTAATCATGGAGTTGCTGAGGTTGGAAGGGACCTCTCAAGATCCTCTCCAGAAAAAACCCTCTGATGATGAGATAAGTGAGACAGCCAAAACGCAAGTGACTGACAACTGCTTCCATCCTAAGTTTTTAGGACTTGGAATTATTTAGAGCTTACCATGGTTGTCTTTTCACCCTACATGAAATTGTTTAAAGGGATGTTTCTCACCATTCCCCAGTTACAGCTATCACTTTGTAATTAACACCTCAGAAGCTAGTAAGATTTTAAAGAAACATAGCACCAGTAAGAATACCTGATTAGATCTTTCAGTAGGTATCTGGTCGTCTGAATTCCCCTTCTCTTTTCTTTGCTTCTCTTCTAGACACTTTGCCAGATGTTGACACATTTCTGCTGTGGATGCTAATTTGCGTTGAAGTTGATGAGTTTCATCAGTGAGTGAACGGCACAAGACATCGCTGGTGGCCTGAGCCTTCTCTCTCTCTGCCAAGCTCTTCTGAAGTCGTAAGATTTCTCTCTCCTTTTCATATGGAGGCTGATTCATCATCTGCTGTATCTCTCCATTTTTCTCCTCTAGTTGCTGATTCAACTTCTGTACTTCCTAAACATAAGGGGGAAGGGAAGTTATTTAAGAGCAAAGTGAACTCAGAAGCCAAAATATTTCTAAGACTGAATTCCATCTTGCAGTAATTCCATCTTGCTCCTATACTCACTGCAAAATACATAAAATGTAAAATAAATCCAATTCATGTATATATCATCACTTGACCTTGAAACTGACAGATCAGTCAGTCGGAATCAAGAACTGCTCGGACAGCTATACAAGCACTTCCTAGTCAGTAGAATGTAAAAATCAGAAACAACAAGCAAAAATTCAGGAAGATTCTATGAAAAGATATACAGCAGGAACAAACTAAGGATGGAACTTAGAAGCAAAGTAGTTTAAAGGGAGTAACTGTGGAGACAGAGAAATGGTTACTGGTCTTGCATCTACATTACTAGATAGTAGAGATTTTCCTCAAAAAAAAAAAAAAAAAAAAAAAATGGAACCAGAAAGTCATCTTATCAAGCACCAGTGAAGTGTATTCATTGCCTGGCACTGTCACAAGGACAAAGCAGAAGGAGCACACACAGCAACTTTCCCACCTAGGAAAGGACAACTGGTAAGGACAAGCAAACAGAAAAGGAAATCCGTGTGACTCTATTTTGGCTATAGCTGACCCTCCAAGGTATGTGAGGGGGTCTGACATGCTCTTAGGAAGCAATTGTGTGTCTCGCTGCTGCAAGTTCTTGTTGAATTGGAAACTCTGTGGCATCATCCGCACTGCAGTAAGTTAACGTCTCTGTAGGTGTTTCGAGAAGTTTGCTTGCTGACTACAGTACAACCACTCCGTAGTACCATGCATCTGAAGTACACCGGTCCTGACCTTGTCCGAGACAGCTTGTGCTTGATACCCTCAAAAAGTAGTGGATGCTGGTAACAGAAGCCTCTGCAGCACCACTCCTCCAGAATCAAGGATGCTCTGGACGCCAGCATAGACCATGAGACAGGTACAAGCTTAATCTACCCTTCCAGTTATGGAGCTGTAAATCACAGGGAGTGCTCTTCTTTGCTAGGATGTAGGCCTCTGACTTCACAAAATCTCTTTTTTGTTGTTGTTGTTATTTTTAGTGACAATTATTTCAGTGTTTCTAACTGGGCATAAAATATTTCTTTCTAAAAAGAATAAAATTAATATCTAACTTACAGAAATAGTGCTTGTTCTCATTACTGACATTTAAATTCTTTAGCATCCCACTAAATGCTGAACTTCCTCTTTGCTATAGACTAAAAACATTCAGCATCAGACTTCAAAAGCTACTCAGATACCACAGGTTTGTTATCTGTCTGCAAAGTGTCATTAAGATCATCTCTTACTACAAATTTCCAAACTTGAACTTATTTACATGTATTTTAGGTGAGTGTCATATATGGAAATGTTTTGTATAAGCATTAAGTCAAGAGATTACTTATGACAAAAATACTTGTTTCAATTTTAAGTACTGCTTCTCGCTTTGGAAATTCCTTTATGAAGCTTCATATAGAAAGAAATGCTTTAAAATTCTGTAAGTATTTCAGAGTGAACATGGGAAAATCTTAATGACAGTAACAAAAACAGTACTTGTGGCGGATGGTGGGGATGCAGTTTTGAGACTTTCCTGTCACAAAAGATACCAATTTCTCTAATCTATCCCCTCACAATCCAGAGTTGCCTACTCCAAGTATTAACGTGCTGCCTTAATGGCAATATAAAAATCCATTTTTAAGTGCACTTAAAAAAAAAAAACCAGCACTTTAATAGAAAAAAGTGGCAGCATCAGTCGTTTATCTTGCAGAACAAAACTGTTGCATCGGATAAAGAGGAGGGTCTTCGCTAAGTAATATGGAACTTCCAAATCTAGGGGTTTTTACTCTTTTTCCTTCTCCTTGTGAAAATACTTGTCTGAAGATTTATAATGCCACGTTAAGTTTCTCTTTTAGGATTTCACGGGTCACCTTCTTGAACTTAACGCAGTGGGAACCACTGTTGGATTCAGATGGCCGAGCTGCTTTGAGCAGGGTCCAACTCTGGGCAGGCAGCGGCAGAGCCAGTCCTGTCAAACGCACCAGGATGGCATGGCGGGGGTCAAAGCATTTGCTCTCTTGTCCGGGCCGTGCCACCGGGTGCCAGCTCCCCGTGCCACCGGGTGCCAGCTCCCCGTGCCCCCCCGGGCAAGTCACTGAGACCACGCCGTCAGCGCCGGTGCCTGCGCACCCCGAGCTGTTTCCATGAAGGCGAGGGAGCCGTCTGAATGCAAACCGCCTGCATCCTCCATTCCGGACAACCTCTGCTGGCCTTACTA